TTTTCCTCTCTTCTTCTCTTCTCTTGTCTTTTCTTTTCCTCTTCTCTTCTCTTCTCCTCTTGTCTTTTCCTCTCTTCTCCTCTCCTCTCCTCGTCTTGTCTTTTCCTCTCTTCTTCTCTTGTCTTGTCTCCTCTTGTCTTTTCTTTTCCTCTCTTCTCCTCTTGTCTTTTCTTTTCCTCTCTTCTTCTCCTCTCTTGTCTTTTCCTCTCTTCTCCTCTCCTCGACTTCTCTCTTCTCTCTCTTCTTCTCTTCTCTTTGTCTTCATGTGATTCAGAGTTGAACCGTTTAGAAAACGAATATCTAATTGTTAATAAATAGTTTATTCTGACTGTCATTGCGATATGATTTCATATATTATATTATATATATTTGAGATTTGAGGTAATTATCATTTTTGTTATTCATTGATAAACATATTAAACTGATACTGTTGTGATTCTTGCGGTGATTTGTTTATTTTAATATGATTTGTGCAACTAAATTTCAACTTTAACAAATAACAGGAGGCATAATATGCAACTTTCTGATCATATTTTGATGAATTATGCAGCTGTGATATTTGGGATGAATCAGCTGTTTTACAGTTCTGAATTGTCTCTTTGTAAAGATCTGATATTAGTTTGTTATAATCACAGAGTTCCTGTTCTTTAATCTTTATTTTACCATAAACAAACATCAGCGTTTTGTTTTAGTAACTTCAGCTGAACTCAAAGTTTATTGTATAATTCACAAACTGGATGAGATGATTTTATGCTGACACAACAGTTTTACTTTCTTTATGATTTATTGTCACAAACGCACATAGAACATACATGAATCCTATTTGTTACCTCCATATTCATACCCTTTATTGTGACTGTATGAATTCAATAATATATATACTTTTTACAACAGCCTAAAAATTTCAACTGGAGCGAGACATTTGTGTGACGCTGATAAAGTCCATAAAGTTGAGATTGTCGTCCTTCATCACTGATGTTGAATCAGAAATAAAGGAACAAAACATTGTGTCTGTCGGAGTTCACTCAGGACTCTACCGTACCTCGTACTAGTACAGTACATGTGTATAAACAAACAATAACACGCTGCTGTATCTACGTCTAGATGACCATATTTTGAGTGTGGAGCTGCTACAATGTTAGCTTAGCTTAGCATAGCACCAATCAAACCAAACTCCTTTCAGAAGACAAGTATTTTAAAAGTTATTTACTCGTCTTCTAGAGGAGAGAAGTAACAAAACATGAATTCAAACTTTCTACTAATGGGCATCATTACGTAGTTATTTCGGCATCTTTTTTACTGTTTATTGCAGTTAAATCGCATCAAAAAATGTGTATTTTGGGTTCATACAGCTGTAGTAAACATCCGAGGTGTGGCTTGTTGGATACAGTGAGTACTCCTCAGGATGATGTTATGAACCAGACAAGACGCCGTTTAGTTTCCAGGATATCTGGTTCTTCCTCAACACGTACAAAGCAGCTATGGTGGTTATTTCAGCTGTGATTGACGAAACGTTGTCTACACGGAGGAAACCCTCACTCCTCTCCGGTTCATCTAGCGGGAATGACTCAAATAAACACAAATGATACCACCATCCAACGGGACGTGAAAATCCTCTTTGTGTTTGGTGTGAACGCAGCATAAGACATCTAGGACGTGTCCTCTTTGAACTGCGGGGACACCGTCTGCAGCTTGACCCGGCACCTGTTCCTCAGAAGGTACATCTTCAGGTACTTCCTGAACTGTTTGTCTCTGACGCCGTAGACGATCGGGCTCAGGAAGCGCGGCAGGATGTAAACGATCAGGTAGTTGACGAATCTGATTTCTAGGACTCGTCCGGGGAAGATCAGACGCAGGACGATCTCCACGCTAGGAGAGACGTAGGAGAGCATGCACATGGCCAGCTGGGCCCCATGGAGCAGGATGGTGTTCCTGGCCCTCTGGGCCGACACCTTCTCCGTGGAGAGGGCCCGGGCCGCGAACAGGATCCGCAAGTAGGTGAAGACCAGCGTGAGGAACACACAGGAGAAGTAGATGATGTCAAAGGCTAGTCGTTTGCGGGCCAGGATCGGGTCTTTGAACACGTTCGGCCTCAAGCAGAACACCGACTCGTGGAAGAAGCTCAGGGACTCCGTAGCCAGCGTCACAAACAGATCAGTGATAGCCGGAGCCGCGCATACGAACCACATCAACCCGATCACCGCGTAGGTCCTCCTCACGGTGCAGATCTGGTGGTGTCGGAGAGGCCAGCAGATGGCGACGTAGCGCTCGATGGCCATGCTGGCCAAGTTGACCGGGGTGTTCCTGGTGGTGAAGACTGCCACCAGGATGAAGAAGCAGCAGAACGAGACGTTGATCCTGTAGAAGATGTAGCTGAGGACGAAGAGCGTGATGGTGACGGTCAGCTGGACGGCGTCATTGATCACCATGTGGATGAAGAGGATGTAGCGAGGGTCTTCATAAAACGTCTGGAGGGAGAAGAAGGAGATGCGTGTGTGTGTGAGTGTGTCCTGGAGGGAAAGTCCAGATGGAATCATCAACCGTCCTCAGAGGCAATTATTAAATGTAGTTTAATAATAATTGTTTATATGAAAGCAAATAAAGGATCCTCATTTTAGTAAATTATGAAGTGTGATTATTAAAGGGCTGTAACCCGTGTCAGTAATTAACACGTGTGTGTGTGTGTGTGTGTGTGTGTGTGTGTGTGTGTGTGTGTACCTGGTGTCTGAAGAAGGTGACCACCAAGCTGCCGTTGATGTAACTGAGGATGATCCAGACCAGAACCACGATCAGGTTCTTGACAAACGCGGTGCTGAAAGTGTCTCTGACGAGTGTGAACTGATCCAAAGAGAAACCGTTCATTTAACGACGTCACCCACTAATCGTATTAACATTACACAACAACACATTATGTCCACGAACACGCCTCCTCCTCTCTCACCATGTGCGACATTAACAAGTATTTATTCATGTTTTCAAGGTTTATTTTTTATTAAATTAAAAACACAGTTAAGAAAATCATGGTGACAAACTTGTTATAGAAACTGGCTTTTTTTTTAAATAATTGCACATTTACACTGAAATAGTGACCTAGAAACTAAACAGCACAAGTAGCTCAAGAGTGAGTTTATATTTCCTTTGATGTTAAGATTCATTTCAAAACCTGCTGAGTCATGTTGCCTTCAGGGCCCACTGATGGGCTCATCCTTCACTCAGACCTGAGAAGGACAGAGAGAGGGGAGATAATACAGAAAATGCAGAAAAAACTATGTCAATTTGCTGAATCATATGATGCAGTTTTAGGATTTACAATCACTCCAAATGTTGGTCAGTTCAAAGTATTAAAATTAAGATTATGGTGAAACCAGTGAAATCAAATGAGACGCACTGAAATCTTTCAAACACACTTTGCTCTTCCGGCTCCTCTTCAAACCGTTCTACGTATTCTGAAACTATTTCATAGCAGAAGGTTCAGACGGACTCCGGGTTCCTTTGTCTGAGAGGGAAAGCCACCACAGCTGGCAATATAAATAATACTCTTTAGGAAAACACACATATCTCATATATACACACACACACACACATGTAGCACACACACACAGGGTGCAAAATTCACTTTTTTCAAATGTCGAGTGAACATTTGAGCAGCGTCTCAATAGGTCACCATTGTTTTTTTGGATGGTGAGTGAAGCAAATAGCAACCACTTGCTGATTTTACGAGCATTTGGCGGTCACCTGCTGCTGATTTCCATCCCTGGAAAATAAACTTCTAATTCACAGAACAAATATACGATGCACAATAGTATTTACATATCCTAAAACATAATCATATACACAACAATAATAGAGTCACCTACAGTCCAAACAGAATCAGTGAGATGCAGTAAACACAGAGAGCTGCACTCAACTCACCCAGCAGGACGTCGCACAGAACAGTTGAGCTGATGCAAGCAGTTTATATACGTTGATGGAAGATGTGGGATCATACTGGTGTGTGTGTGTGTGTGTGTGTGTGTGAGAGTGAGAGAGAGAGTGTTGCGTGTGTGTGTCTGTGAGTGTGTGTGTGTGAGTGTGTGTGAGTGTGTGTGTGTGGTGTGTGTGTCTGTGAGTGTGTGTGTGAGTGTGTGTGAGTGTGAGAGAGAGTGTTGCGTGTGTGTGTGTGTGAGTGTGTGTGGGGTGTGTGTGTCTGTGAGTGTGTGTGTGAGTGTGTGTGGGGTGAGTGTGTGTGTGAGTGTGTGTGAGTGTGAGAGAGAGTGTTGCGTGTGTGTGTCTGTGAGTGTGTGTGTGTGAGTGTGTGTGTGAGTGTGTGCGTGAGTGTGTGTGAGTGAGAGAGAGAGTGTTGCGTGTGTGTGTCTGTGAGTGTGTGTGTGTGAGTGTGTGTGTGAGTGTGTGCGTGAGTGTGTGTGAGTGAGAGAGAGAGAGTTGCATGTGTGTGTCTGTGAGTGTGTGTGTGTGAGTGTGTGTGTGAGTGTGTGTGAGTGAGAGAGAGAGAGTTGCATGTGTGGCCTCTGACACAAATAGTTCCACAATTTGTGATATAAGCTAATTTTCTTTCTTTGCTTCAAGATATTTTTTCTTTGATTTTTTCATCCTGAATATCATTCACTGTCCGCTGATCGAGCGTGAACGAGCAGAATGAAAATCCCAAACAGAAGTGTCTGTTATCAGGTGGAAGGTCCAGCAGATGGATTCCATGTGTGTCCGTTGTTCGACACACAGGCTTCATGTTTCACAGGCGCTGAGGGAGGACAGCAGCAGGCTGATCTGCACATGAGTGAACACAAACGGTAGATTTCACTTCTGGATTTCCTCAAAACCTCTTCAGGTTTTCAGAAGTTTAGGAGATCGCTCATCAGCAGGACGCATCGATTCGTTTCCAAGCTTCATTATTTCTTCTATTTTTGCATTTTAAAGTTGATCATTTGCCGTTTGTGGTTCATTTGCGTGTGATGTTGCTGTGCTAATACTTCCTGTATTTAGTCAGAGCTCCGATAACATAGAGATCAGATTTCAACGATGACTGAAAACACGAAACAAAGAAGATTGAGCTGGATTGTGGAGGACAGGATGACTTTAACTGATGGATATGATAAACATAAACATATTTACATATTGGACCAACCTGTAACCTCAACAGGAAAGGAGAAGAGACGTTGCTGTTAAATTAGACAATAATTTAAATAAATAAATAAAATAAAATAGACAAAGATGATTATTTGAAACAGGACGTGACATTATATAAGGTTCCACAGATTTATTATTGCAAATTTATAATAGAGGGTTGCTCAATGAACACAGATGTTGAAAACATTTCAAATACAATAGAATGTAAACAATAAATTAGACTTAACTATATAATGGAAGAAATAAATCAAAAACTAAATATTTATTTAATTCAAGATTTATTCATCCAGGATCAGATAACAGACTTAAAACAATCCAGCAAATTGCAAAGAGTTCTTCAGTAACAAGTGCATCCAGTACTGAACTGATCCTTCATCCAGTTTTTTAAATCATCTCGTTGAAAGAGGCTCTGTAGTTTACAGACGAGGGTCCAAACACGTTTCTGAAGACGGTGCAGGTTCTATGGATGATGTACATTATTTCAATGTACATAATGACCTGAGAACTGGACTGATGTGGTCTTACTGAGGACTGGAGCAGCAGTGTTCTGAGTCGAAGACTACGCCTAGATATCTGGCTTGGTTTATGATTTTTAACATTAAAGTTGATCAAAACTCAGCTTTGACTTTTAATCGTTCCTCCTTGGCTCCCAAAACATCTTCGTCAGTTTGTTTAATGAAGACACATCCAGTCGTTGATGACTTCATTGCATTTGCTCAGTGCTTGTATTGGACCACAGTCTCCTGGCGATGTGGTTATGTAAATGTCTGTGTTTCCCATAATGTGAGCCAGTGGAAGCATGTAGATGTTAAACAGAAGGGGCCCAGAATGGGTTAGGGTTAGAATCGGGTTTTGCCCGGTCGAGCACCATGTGTCAAGGCCCAGCCACCAAATGCTTCCCGGGACCTCCACTCCCAGGTTTGGCTCCAGAAGGGGGCCCCGCTTTCACTTTTCCGGGCGATTCATAAAGGGTCAATGAATCGCTCTTGGTCTGGCCCCTCCCCTGAGACCACTTTGCTATTTCCCCCACAGCTCTCAGGGTCCCTGGGGCACACGAAGTCCTCCACCACGTTAAGGTGGCGATTCATTGGAGGGTTAATTCAAAGTTCACGTCTTCATCATTGAAACATTTAATATGTACCTTAAATACTGTTGTACTTCTCAGATTCACTATGAATTGTGATGTTTAATAATATATGTTGTTAGTAATGAGTGTTAGTATTAGGTTTATTACATAGGTTGTTAAATGTATTCATGTTAACAATTGTGGAATGTAACTAAGTACATTTACTAAAGTACAATACTTAATTAGAATTTTGAATACTTGTACTATTTTCATTTTCTGCAACTTTTTATTTCTCCACTTCAAATCAGATGTTAGTATTCACAACTTGAGTTACTTTACAGAATCTGAATAACAATACAAAATATAATCAACTAATAAATGATTATATATTATTACAGATTAAACTACCAGTAGTATAAAAAATCCACCTATACCAGTTGCAACATAAACGGGATGAACACATTATTGCCTCAATATTTACAATTCAAGAATATAATATATTTTATTCTAAAATTGGCCATATTAACTCTTATGTTATGGCCATAACTTTTGGACACAGGGAGAAATCGCCCCCCCCCCCTGCAGCCACGTGCTCTCAATCGCCTCCAAAACACAACAGCAGGTTTAAGTCAAAATCAAATTGATTTATTATCCAAGCAGCATAAAAACAGATACAAACCGTCATAAACTGAATCACACCACTAATAACAAAACAAACTTATGAATTCCATGAAATGTGAGATCCAATCCGAGCCACCCAGGAGGCTGGTCTGCCTCCTCGGTCGCCCGCAGAAGATCTGAAATGCCCCAGAGCTTCAAAACCTTTGTCTCCCCAAATTTACATTCCTCAGCTCATCGATCAGCTCATTGATTGGCTGAAGTCCAACAAGCCCCTCCTGGGCCGTTGCCCCATTGTCCTAAACTTCACTCCTCTCCCAGCCACTTTCACACAACCCCCGCTCCAGCACATTCCTCAAACCTGATCACACAGACACTCAAACACACTACTGTGTTCAAACTCCGACAAGTAAATACACTGTATCACTTAATATTCATAATTAGGAGCTTTAAAACTTAAATTTCTCACAGTTCCCCCCTTACTCGCTATTCATAGCGAGTATATTAAATCTCTGGACACATGGAAGTCATCATGATGTGTAAGCAGAATAGGTGTTACAATTTACATGCTAAAAAACAGTAGACAACACATTGTGCCTCTAAATTTCTCACAGTACTTTCAGTATATTTTGTCGTATTACTACTTTTACTAAGAAGACACCTGAGTACTTCTTCTGCATCTTTATGTTAACAATAGTTTTTTGAAATATTAAAAAGGTTTTCTTTCACTCACACACATGATTTTCAGATACAGTTCATTCAGTGTAGTGTTTTTACTTTTCACCTCTCCATCATCTGATCGGGTCTCTCGCTCCAGTTTACAGCAAAATGAGTCATTTACCGTTTTAGTTTGTTTTGGAGCAACACTTTAAAGTATGCGACGTGACATTTGTACAATAAAACACCTAAAGAACGCATCATCCCTCGCACACACAGTTGGTTTAGAGACCTGTGTTCCTCTTCAGTCAGAAGAGTCAGATGTAACAGGACAGCTCGTCTTCTGCGATTGTTTAAATCGGCAAAACAACAACATTGTTTCATTTTAGAGTAAAGAACATATTTGTAAAAATCGAATGTGCAGAATGAGACATGCATACAAAATAATGATGAAACAAAAATCAAGATATTGTCTCTTAATACAAAGACAAGATCACAGAGAGAATATGAACCCACCTTGGTAATAGTCATGTACGGCACACACACACACACACACACACACACACACACACACACACACACACACACATTAAGTCAGATGTCTCTTGAAATATATAGTAGTTAAATCCAGATGTCGTGTGTGTGTGGTTGCATGTGGGACATCACTAGTGAACATTAAGGAAGGCCTGAACCGATGTACACACATTGGGCAGTATGTCTTGTCCAATCCGTATATTTCAGATAAACATACAATAAAAAGGACATTACTGAAAACTGATTGAATTCTGTACAAAGTGAATAACTGTAAGATTACAAATAATCTTATATTTACAACTGCCCTTCGGCAACAATACAACCCCAATCATTTCAATAAGTCGACACACACAAATAAAGAACGCTTTCTTTCTGCATCAATAACGTAATAGCTGCAGGTTTTTCTCACATTGCGTTAAATAACCTGAGTGCAATTTTATTATCTTTTATCGTTCTTCAAGAAAATGTGAAAGTTTTTATACTTAAAACTTTACAATTTCACGTAATTTTGGACCTTAAAGACAAACCGTGTGAATAGTTACACATATCACAGCCTTCGTCTGAACATGTTTTCCCTATAAAATCATATTCTGTAAATCAAGAGTATATTCTGAAAACCTTTTAATAATGTATCATAATTAATATCTATTCACAAATAAAAAGGTTATGACTGACATTTAACTAGTTATTTAGCAGAAAGGATATATATATACACGCATGGTCTAGTACAGCAACATGATTTTCAGTGAGGTCCGTGTTTGATGCTTGGTCTCATTGAACACAGCAGATACTTCTTTAGATGCTGTCTGAATGTATTGTCTCGTAGCCCGTACACAATAGGGCTGACCAACCTGGGGAGCAACTGGACGATGATATACGAGGCAAAGATGATAATTTGATTATTTTCAGGGAAGCTGTACACCAGAGCCTTTCTGATCAGATGGGCTACGTAGGTGAGCATACACAGCAGCAGCTGAAAGCCATGCAGCAGGATGGTGTTCCTGGCTTTGTTTGTGTCTCCATCAGCTGATTTCGATGCTTTAGCTGTTTTAGCAGCTAAGATGATCTTGATGTAAGTGTAGAGGAGCGTGAGCCAAACAACAACCAGGTAAACTGCGTAGGAAACTTCCTTCTTTTTTAGGTGGATAGGGTGACGGAACAGATTATCCCTATGACAAAAAATGTTGGAATAAAATAACTCCACAGGCTCTGTAGCCAGTAAAATAAAGACATCTGGCAGCATTGGAACTGCACTCATGGCCCAAATCAAACCAATCAGAATGTATGTTCTTCTGATGGTACAGAGCTCAGCGTGTCGCAGTGGTAGACAGATAGCGATGTAACACTCCACGGCCATGACAGCTAAATTTAATGGAGTGTTGAGAGTGGTGAAGACAGTGAAGATCATAATGAGGCAACATAAGGAAACATTAATTCTGTAGAAGATGTAACTTAAGACAAACAGGCTGATTGATGTCGTCAGCTGGATCATGTCGTTCACCACCAGGTGGATGAAGAGGATGTAACGGGGATTCACATAAAATATCTGAAGGAGAGGAGAGAAAAAAGAAAGAACCACAGTTTAAACAACTCAATATTTTTCATATATCGGTAAATACAAAATGAATAATATTGATAAGATAAGATAATTTATAAGAATAAACAATAAGGGAAATATAAAAATAAAATTAGAATTGGAGTAATCATAAAAATCATTCAGGAGGAATGTTGCATCCATCACTCATTTATAATGTGATAAAGTAATGATACCCGGCATTTGTCCGTATAAATATATATAAATAATAGAAATATAATACAGTGTATGATATAATAACACAGTATGACATATTAACAAAGTGTAACACACAATCAGTGCTAAAGGACTGTGACCTGGTGTTTCCTGAAGGTGTGAATCAAGGAACCGTTGATGTAGTTGATGATGAGGCCGAGAGTCAGAACAATCACATTTTTGGCTACGACTGTGTTGTAGGAGTCTCGATAACTCAGAGTCGACACGTTAAAGCCGGAAGACGATGAATTCATTGAGCTGATCTGAGGATCCTGCAAGCCTCTGAAGAACATTTCAAACATTTCAAACACATTTCCAACCATAGCAGGAATAACTTGGTTAACAATTGAAGGGAGAGTAAAATAAATCTACAGCCAATTCACTCATCCTCACTCTGTTTATAGGAAAACCATTCATCTTTAAATGTATCCATCCAAAATCCTCACTGTTGTACTTGCATGGATCTTAAAAGGTTTCCCAACATCTGTAGCACACTTTACTTTAATACCAGGAGTCACATGTTTTTAACAACTTCAAAAGAAGAACGTATGAATCATGAATTAAATGTTATGTTGAATGATCGTTTAAATAAAATGATGCCTGTTTTTTCTGTTTTGAGATGAACTGTTATCCACTTCTCAAAACACATTCTACCATCTAGTTGTTAAATTGTATATAGAAATTTAGAAGTTGAGCATAATAATTCCATATAGTTCAAAATGATTGCAATATTCTAAACACCATAGTAGAATACTACACTAACACAGTATGAGAGCATCAAAGACATTCCTACCTCAGATAGTATGCTCTAGTTTCCACCTTCACCAGTTATGAAATGAGTGTGAAGCAGTTTCATCTCTTTTTATGAAGCAGCATCAGGGAGCTGCTGTAACCTGAATGACTTCATCCAGCTAAAGTTAAGAAGAAAAGCTGTTGTTTCAATGTTGTTTTGAATAACAAGCTCTATTGTCATGCTTTTTATGCACTCTGGCACCTTATTTATATTAAAACTACACATTTTAATCATTGAAAATGAATTTTAAAAGTGTTCTTCAAATATTCCATATTCATTGTGATGTTGTAAATATACAGTATGTTAATTTAGTAATGTGTATTAGTTTTCGGTTGTTAAATGTATTTATGTTAACAATTGTGGATTGTAACAAAGTACATTTACTAAAGTACTGTACTATAGTGCAATTTTCAATACTTCCATCTCATTCTTCAAACCGCTTATCCTATTCAGGGTCGCGGGGCGATGGAGCCGATCCTAGCTGACATTGGGCGAAGGCAGGGTACACCCTGGATAGGTCGCCAGTTTATCAGAATCAGAATCAGAACCATTTATTGCCATGGTATGTTGAACATACAAGGAATTTGACATGACAGGAGGTGCATAACATTTAACAACAATCAACAACAATCAACAGTGCAAAGTAGAAACATATTCAAATTTACAGAAAATATAAAATAAAGTAAAATATAAAATAAAGTGCACAAACGAACAGACAACAGAACTATAAACAAGTGAGATGTAAGTGTAGTGTAAAAGTGTCGAGTGTAATAGAGGGGATGTGCAGGGGAGTGACCGGTAGGAAATTGTCCTGGGGATGACAGAGTCAGTGGGGGTCCCGGGCTTTGTTAATGAGCCCGACTGCCGACGGGAAGAAACTGTTCATGTGTCGTGAGGTCTTGGTCCTGATGGACCTCAGCCTCCTACCAGATGGAAGGGGCACAAACAGTTTGTGTCCAGGGTGAGAGGGGTCAGCTACAATCCTTCTTGTTCGCTTCAGGGTTCTTGAACAAGTCCTGGAGGGACGGCAGATTGCAGCCAATCACCCTCTCAGCAGAGCGAATGATGCGCTGCAGCCTGCCCTTGTCCTTGGCTGTGGCTGCAGCGTACCAGACCGTGATGGAGGAGCAGAGGATGGACTCAATGATGGCTGTGTAGAAATGCACCATCATTGTCTTTGGCAGGTTGAATTTCTTCAGCTGCCTCAGGAAGTACATCCTCTGCTGAGCCTTCTTTGTGATGGAGCTGATGTTCAGCTCCCACTTGAGGTCCTGTGTTATGATGGAGCCCAGGAAGTGGAAGGACTCCACCACGTCGACCGGGGAGTCACACAGGGTGATGGGGGCTGTTTGTAGAGACAGACAAACATTCAAGCTCACATTCATACCTACGGGCAATTTAGAGTCTCCAAATAACCTAAGCTTCAGTCTTTGAAAGTGACAAATGAGAAATGTATTTATAAACAAATATACAGTATATTCATATATATAATATATTCACACAGATATATTTACGGACCGTGCATTTTATACCTGGGCCTTCACTGCTGTCCTGCAGCTGAAACACAGCTACGGTTATTATTTGTTTCGTGTCAAAATGAAGCTCAACGCCTATAGATGGAGTGCGTCTCCTCTCTGCTCTGACTGCAGCTGGGACTGCTGCGCGAGGCTGCTGAGAGAGTTACCACGGCGGAGGGGCTCACGGCAGCTCCCGCTGCTCGTTCACGACAGTGCAGAACGTACGAGCTTTCACGAGTCAAAACACCAGAAAATTCTCCAATAACACCAGAACAAGTCGCTAGATTTGTCGCTAGTAGCTTTTGACAAAAAAAGTCGCCATGAGGGTTTGGAAAGTCGCCAGATTTAGTGAGAAAGTCGCCAAGTTGCCAACACTGGCACCTGCTAAATATGTCCCCAGTGCAACATTGGACATAACAATGGTTCCTATCACATATAAAACCAAGCAAAAATCTTCATAAAAACAAGTTGTACAAATAATAATATATAAACAAGCATATTAAAGCTACTGCAGATACTACAAACGCAGCTTGTTGCTGCAGCTGCTGTTCACTATTTAAAGACAAAGTCCATCCTCCTTTCTTTGTTAACAAAGAGTTTAATCTCACAGTTGTTCAGTAAATCCGTGCGTTTTAGTTCCAGTAAGAAGTCCTTCTCCAGTCATGGACGCCAGTGAAGACAGTCGAGCCTCCCCAGTTGTATTTCTTGAATAGGTTTTAAGTATAAAACATGCTGCATCTCGTGAGTTAAAGGGAAAATACACCTAAATTGTGGGTAAAGTGTCTTTATTCTTTGATCGCTGGGTAACCATCATCACCTCTGAGTTACAGCATCATAGTGATGAAGAGTAGAGATGGGTCACCTTCATCACCTCTGAGTTACAGCATCATAGTGATGAAGA